AATGATTATTATTCGTTTTATAGATTTTCTAACAATGACTTTGAAGTAAACGATTATTCAGAATTTTTGCACGATAATGAAAACCACGGATTGAAAACAAACGTGCAATCTCAATTACAATATGTGCGAGTTGAGGGTGCTGGAGTATTACATAATGAATTATCTCCTGCTGTGATGATAATTGGAAAATCTCCTTACATAAATTCTATTAATGTTACAAATTCAGCATCTCATGGGATATCTGTCATTACATTTAAACATCAAAACATACACCTTTTTTCTAATTGGTTTGTTGTAATATTTTTATCAATAAATTTGATTATACCTTAATACTAACTGTTGTCTCAGGATTGAAAATAATACTGGAATTGGTATTAATATAATTTCACTAACTGGAGAGGGACAAGAAAACGATGAAAGTTCCTTTGATGTATTAAAACAAGTAAATATTCCTAAAGATACATTTGGTTTATTGGACATGTGTGATCCTATTAAAGATGTAGTCGTGTATGAACGAATGATTGTACACTTCAAATATAGTGATCAACCAATATCTTGTGTCAAAATTTTCCGTAGTTATTTGGGATCTAAATCATTAGGTTTAAGGTAAACAAATTTATTATTATTATTATTATTAATTTTATTTAAAGCTAAATGTATTTTTATATATATTATAGATTACTACAATTAAATTTAGCACACGATAGTGATTATGTAGGAATATATGATGGTATAATATACAATAAAACTTCTGAAATTATCCGTCTTGTAAAATCTCCAAAATCTCAAAGAAGAAGATTCATCAAATCCACGTTTGGTAGCATTAGTTTAAAAACTATAGCTCGAGCTGCTTCTTCACGTGTTTATGCTTTTATTGCAGAAATTGTGACCCTTCCCATTGCTGCAATAGGTTTTGGTATGTGCATATTATTTATGTATTATATAATGTTAAAATTAATTGATGTAATAACTATAATCATTATAATATAATAATAATTATAATTATGTTTAAAAGAAAGAAAGAAAAATATATTTTTATTGATTATTTTTAGATCGCAACACTGAACATAATATTTCATATTCAGTGATCAACAATAATCTTATGGGTGCTATTAGTTATGCATGTGCAGGTGAGGTGAATCCACATATTAGTGTTGCTTGGAATAAGATAATCAACAATTGTCGTCACATACCCAATTCAAACATCAGTACATGTGACATGCCAATTCAATTTCAATTGCAAAATACTCAAAGTTTACTACTTCATGTAAGATATTTTTTTTATGTGATTAGTTAAATAATATTTTTACCAAACACTTGTATAAATTCTTAGTAGTTTTCTCTTCTGAATGTAAATTATGGTTTATTGTATCCATCTATCTCAATATACTTGGTTTCAGAAGGTTCTTATATCCTTTATAAATCTTTTTTTCATAAATATTCAAATATTTTTTACCTTTTTTTGTATAGTACCATGTTTCCATCCTTTTGTACTTCAACTTCACCAGCTGTATTCTAATTCTTACAATTTATAATGAACTCTTTTATTTGTATTTGTGTTTAAATTGTTTCGCTTTAATTTTTATAAACATATAGGCAAAGTGTTTTTAAATACTTAAATGTTTTTATTATTTTTATTTTAGAATAACCTTGTCATGAAAAATCAAGGTGGTCTTAAAGTGACAGCAGATTCTAGTGGATTTGCAACTGCTTTGCAAGCAATCATCCATAATAATTTATTTACAGAAAATGTTAATTTACCAGTATTAAATATTAGTGGTATACGTGTGGCCCCTCAACAACACATAACCATTTACCGCAACTTTTTTTCTGAAAATATCGCCCCATATGAAAACATCATTCAGCTTGTGCAGGTAATTATTAAATAATTCAAAATTTAAAATAATATCATGTTTAATTATTAACTTTCTCCTATTTTAAGGTCATTTCAAATTTTACATTTAACTACGTCTACAGTAATATTGGTTTTCATGTTCTACAAATGTCTGGTTTTCATGGAATCCGATTGCCATTACAGTCATCAACTTCACATAATGGATTTTATTGGTAAAATTTTATTTACAATTTATTTTGTGTAATAGTGCAACTATAAATTTAATTTTTTTGTAAAAGGAATGAAGCAACAAACTTACAGAACAAAGGAACAATATTGGCTTTATCAAATGGTCAATATTATATACACAATATATTTTATGACCCTGAAAATAACTATGAAATCATAGCTGCGACCAGTAATAATAGATCAAAGTAAAGATATTTTGAACATTAATAATTGCTCATTATTTTTCTCGTTGTTTAAAATAACCATTATTATACAAATGCTTGCAGTGATTACATTTATGCTATTGACGGTTCCATTGATGCTCGTCACAACTATTGGGGTTTTAATGATACCATTGCTGTCCATGGACGCATCAAAGACTATAAAGATGAAATAGAATTAATGCCGGTTGATGTAATACCTTATTATTCAACAAACAAAACTATTTTAGAATCAGAAAAATGTCCTCCACCGTGGATATTAATGCCAAATTCTAATACTTGTTATGGATACATAGCAGTACCAATGACATTTCACGAAGCTAAGACATTTTGCATGGTAAATAATTTACTTAGTATTGTTGAATTTAGATTAAACGTTATGTTCAATTTTTAGACTATGAATGCTTCAATGCCATTCATTACTGGTGACTATGCGAATATCAGGAGAACACTGCAATTACAGATCTATGACTATGGTCTAATATGGGTACAACATATTGACTATATTGGTCAGTGTACGGCTCTCGGTTTTAACAAAGTACACACTAATTTAGAATGTGCTTTTCGTAACGCCTTCATTTGTGAAATGGGTAATACACATTTGCTTTAAAACAAAGATAATTAAGTGCTTATGTCTTTATTGTTAGTAAAATATTTATTTGTTATTAGACCCTCAAGTGACTATTCATCCATTGAAGTGGCGTGATGATTTTGTTAACATTGCTGTCACAGGATTAATATTCGGCTGTCTGATTTGTGTGGCATCTGTATTATGTTGCTGGTGGACCAAATCAAAGCAGAGGCAAGTGCAAAGACTAAACAGACGAAATTCAATTCGCCAATCATTAACGTCTTTACGATCGTTATCCCTGTCACAGCCAGCATTTTCTGATTTAAATTACCGACGTAAACCAGTATGTTAAAATAATTTTATCTAATTTCAATTTTTATAATTTGTAACAATAATTATAATTGAGAAAACTTATGTAATTTTAATTTATAGATAATTGATAATAGCAGTGGTTTTAACACAATATCATCAAAAGCCAATGGAAGTAACGATTCCATAATGAAGTCACAATTTAATTCGTCTGTTGATGAATATGAGCCGAGTGAGTTGTACGAAGTACACAACGTTAACGATCCTATACACATCGAAAATGATTATGATTTAGCATATAAAAATAAAGGTAATTTCTTGGTTTTTCGTAAATATAAAATACAAAAAAAAAAAAATTAACCTTTTATATAAATTTAGGTTTTAGAGACAACTCAACATTTGCATCTACAGTGGGTATGTGGACAGACATTAGTAGTCGAGGCGTATACAGTAGTGCAGAAGTACTTGAAACCAATTTGGATCAGGCACCATCTCCTCCGCCCAGATCACATAGCCAACCTCTAGAAACCTCAATGTGATATATTATAATCCTATGTACCTATTTTTTTTATTATTTTTATTTATATTGCTTAATCGATCTCTTAGTCCAGAGACCACTCACCCAATAGGATGTTATGTATATGTTTATGAAGTATTAATAACGATTAATTTATTTAGTACCTATTTACTCCTAAGAAATTGCGTTGAAAAACATAACGCACTAGTGCACCCACACTGCCTGTGACTGTATTCAAAAAGTCCCTTAATTTTTTTTTTTTCGTGGATATACGGACATTTTTGTTAGGTTTAGGGAAATTGACAAGGTATATATTTTAATTTTTTGTTTTGTTTTTTTTTTTTTTTATATATTATATAATATTATTATACATAGACATAATTTAATTAGAGTTAAAACGTTTTGTATTTGTGATTAAAACGAAAAAGTATTCCGTCCAGTTTACTAATCACACGAGCCGTCCAGAATAAAAAAATATTGATATACCTATAATTAGCATGATATTCGATTGTTTTATAATATTATATGGAAACAATACCATATATATAGGTATATAAGTTAATATGTATATTTTTTTTTCATACATAAATATATATATTACATGTTTTTTTATACTACCTACATTGTGTTATGATTTCATTTATAATAATACGATGACGTACTCCGTAACATTGCGGCGAGGTAAAACCTATTTGTCACCGGAATATGCAAATGATGTCAATAACTGATACGGACGGGATATGCCCTCATGCTGTGAGTACATTATTATTATTATTTTTTTCACAGTCCATTTATTTTGGTGCGTGGAAAACTTTCACTCGGCCAGTGGTTCCCATTCGAATACGCTTTTTTTTTTTTCTTCCCATATTGGATCGAGAGAAAAATCGCTTTTCGTCGAACCGATAAACCCCGGCGGAATTTTCTCTGCTCATCGCAAACGCGCGCGCTACTGCGTAGATACCTACCCGTAGAAAATCCCATTACCCACAACAGGTGCGCGGACGCGACGTTTCCGGCCGGTTGAACGAACGTGACCGCGGTTAAGGTCCAATGGTTCTAGGTCAGTAATATTAGTAACACGTTTGCGGTGCATATATATATATATATATTGTTTATTAGACGCTCGACTTTGTTTTCTACGCTCAGTGTGGCACTGGTGCGATCATCGGGCAGATTCACTCGATCGTTCGCACGCGGTGCACAATCGGCGCGCACTTTTCGCGTATGGTCAACTCTCCAACTCTCCGAGCCGATAAAGTACCTTTCTACCGTCGTCGTCGTTCCTTTTCGGCATCGTAATATTATAATATCTTAAACAATATGATTTTGTCGAAAATAATAGCGTGCGTCGTCACGGTGGTGCTGTCGTCCGCGGTCGTTCAGTCGAATCGAGGTAATGTATTCAAAATTAATATTTCGAAAAAAAATTGTTTCCAATCATATTTTGGTACCTGCGAAATGGCTTGATCGTTTTTCTTCTCTTAGACTTTGCTCATCGTTTGACTACTATTGAAGATTTAGCCACTCGCGACAACGTCATAAACGTGCCGGTAGCTTTGCCCACCGGTTACGTTGTGAACAGACCGTCCCAAAACATAGCTGCTGCGGGAGATCGTGTGGACGTTAACAAGGACCCGAGCAAAGAAGTATTGATTTAACATATTTTACTATCGTTTATTCGTATAATATTTCCTGACGAAAAAGGTTTTATAATGTACATTTTATAACGACTATTGACTGATAACCTACCTACCTTATATGTATGTCTGTATTTGAATTTAAGTCGTTATTTCTAAATCTGATCGATATATTCACGAATTATTGTAATACGTCGAAATTTCGAATAGTTGATGTTATTAAATAGGTTTATGACTCGATACGAGGTGATTGAAGTGCCTACCTGTTGAATTTATAGGTTTCAGAAACTGATATGTATTTACTAGGAGCTATTGAAAAATTGGTACATAGAATGGACTTAATGGAAAAACGATTGAAACGATCGGAAGAACTCATTCAACACATTGTAGAAGGAAACGCAGCCAACAGAGAAGGTTAGTCACAATCTTAATGAAACTATTTAGTGAGTAGAAAAAAAACGTGGACCAACACTGCAGTTACCATATACATCTACTTATAAATTTCAATAGATATCTTATTAATAGTTAAAGAGACCAATGGTCAATTTTATAAAACGACTTATGTGTTTAAAGGCTAAAGTAGTAGTAGGTATACTAATATGTGCGATTTAAAAAAGTAATTTACATTTAATCGTAATACTTACGCAGTTACGGTAATATGAACCTGTATGACTATTTCGTCTTTAACCAATAATAGGTATAGATCGATATTTTTTTCAAATTGTTGTAATGTTCGCAAATCGGTGCACCTTGATGTGTTAAAAAATAAAATACAATGGTCTCAGTAGAGTTAAATACATTTTAGAGACCAAAATAAATAGTTAAATATTTTTTTTACATTTTAAATTATCATGGTGGGAGTTCGTCTCTCACGGTCTCACGCATATTATATATTATTAGCCATTATAGATACGAATGTTCATAGTGAGTTGTTCTTACTAGCGAATTTATCATAATATACATTTATTACCAGTTATTATATCATACGTAATAGGTACATTTTACATTTGTTGTAGCATATATTCATAGGTACTTACTGATATTTGATAATAATTGATAAGTATATTAATAACAAACAATAATATTGATTATTGAATGAAGGATGCTTTAGGTGTGGGGGTGGGAAGTTAAATTAGTTATCCCAAACTGTTTCTTTGATAATTATCAATAATAATAAATCAAATAGGTATAAGTATCCATATTCCATTTCGTTTTTATACATCGTATATGAGCCATAGCCATAGACGTGGCTAATGATGGATGATCAAATTTTCATTAATCCATTGCATGCTGCATACCCACCTTTACAGAAAATAATTTGTGCTCGGTGTCGGTGTGTATAAATTAACCAATTAGGACAGTAAGCATTTCTAAATGTTTAACAATGTAATCACGATATTCCAAATTATAATAATTACTCTTGTTTTTAAATTAGCACTGAAGTATTTGGTTTATACAGGTGTGGAGGTAAATTTTGAGATAGTACCTACATAATAATATGGTTACATTCATTATTGTTTTGGTGAGTGCTTATCAATAAGTATAACATTTTGTCCAAATGATAGGATTCAAAATTATATCCCATATTGAAACATATTATAATATTATACAATATTTACCGAAATTGTATTAACGTGTATTCGACATTCGTGTAGAGTTTTGAGTATAGGTAGGAACATTTTATTCTTCATAGTGTAGCCAAATGACAACTAATTATGTTATATTGTTATTCATGGATAATTCACAATTTATTATTATTTATTTGGCTTTATTATTCTATTCAAAATTGTTCTCAACACAACTTCATGTTACCGCAGACCACAATACTTCTTTAAATATATTCGTAATATTACGTATTTACTATTTATGTTCTAAAATTATAGAATGGCCAACAAACCGTTATTCGTAAGCCCGAAGTCGTAACCGATATTTCTATATTAAATACTTGAGTCAATACAGACAACATAGTAAATTCTAAATAAATTCAAATTCAAATGAAAACGACAAACAACAGTCATCAATCATCATACTATCATAGTAATTTAATAGTCAAGCTATAATAATTTGGAACAAAATACAAATATAGGTGCCCATAATTATTATTTATTTAGTTATGTGAAGGCGCGCCTATATTAGACATTTAAAAGAAACTATTAACTACTGTTTAACATTTATATTTTGAGTAATAACGTTTATGGTTTATTACCTAACTTTTAGTTTATAGTCAAAATAATAAACGTTCGCTTGTTATTAGTTATCACTAAATAGCATCCGTGTAATTAACTCTCAGTTTTCCAGTGTCCAACTATATCATAAAGCATGTTGATATATTTAAGAATATGTATGTCTTATGGTGATTGTACACCCGGTAATCGGTACATTGACTGCAATATTAGAAATCGAGATTCGATTTAAAGATTACCAATAGAAAACATTTTTGTTTAATTACTTTCTTTTTAAGTCCACGAATGTCGAATAACATTACTAAAACAAACTTAACATGTTCACAAATAAGTTAATTTTGTTTATTGCAATATTGTAAATTAGTAAACTATATACAAAAACAAGTATGCCGGGCGCCGGTGGTTGAAGTTTTATCGAAATAGTCGTGTAGGCGGGTGGCTATAATTAAAAATAAATTAAAAATTAAAAGTACCTATATAGGTAGTAATTATTAGAGTTATTATTTATTAATCTATTTTTAAAATAAAATGCTTTACATTTATTTGGTAATGCATTTCACGCAATTACGGTAAAATATTTTTTTTTTTTATCACATGTCTACCTATCTAATTTATGTAGGTATACTATACACTCTATATAGGAATGACTGACGTAGGTACCAAATTAAACGGGTTTTACTAGAAATTTACATATTTCCATATTTTATTTTCTGACTAATTTTTGAACAATAAAAGTAATCCCGGATAGATTTTACTTTTGCTGATTCAGGTACCCGTAGTGTACACATATATTATTATGGTTTAATAAATCACGAAATATTAGTGTTTAACTATTAAATTCAGCCTAGAATTAAATTAAAAAAATTAACTTACAATTTATATAACATCCCTTACTTATGTAGTAGTGCAAAAACAAAATTGTAGTGTATTTAAACATTATAATATTGATAAGTACATTAGTTTTCTAATATTTCCCATACGTATTATAATACCTATACAGTAATATACAGTATACAGTATCTTGTATGGTGTATAATAATATCATGCTGCGCTATTAGTTTGGAGTTTCGAAACTGAATCGAACACTTCATGTGTTTGATTTCAAAATATATATTGTTGAACTGTGGATGATTCAGCTTACTACTAAATGCTCTATGGCTGCGATACCTATATGTATAATATCACTGATGATTACTATTGTCTATAGGTTAATAGGTGTGACGGTTATACAAATGAAATAATTTAATTCGGAAGTATTCAAGTATATATGACATATGTATATATTATATATCATATAACTATCATTGGGGAATGCTAAGCTAAAAAAATATTTTTTCCTAATGTAACACCACACCTAGTATAATATATACTATATAATTATATATAATTATGCATATAAAATTTAAATTTAATTTTCAAAATTGAAATGGTTGATAATTTGATATATAGACATTATTCAGACCTATAATGAGTATACCTATATATTTATTATTCACTCTCCAACTCTCGAAACTTTACATCAAAAATATATTACATGAATTATGAATAGTAATCACGTAATATATATTTTAGTAGAACATATTATTATATTATAATATTTCAGTAGAACAATATCAATATTATTATAAGAGGAACACATTTGATATTTTATTTTATTTTAAATATTTATACAACTATTAATTATAATCACATCTAAATATAATTGTTATAATGTTATTATAAGATTTTTACTACACGACATTAGAAATGTATATGATGGTCTGAATATACTATATAGACATGGTAGGTATGATACCTAATATCATTGATTAATTATTATAAAGACTACCTAGTATTTATAATTAATGCTAATATCTATATCTTGTATAAAAACAAGGTGTTGAATATATAATCAAACTACTACTTCTATTTATTAAATAACAGCTATTTATGATTTCTAATTGTTGGTATTAGTTATATTATAATTAGAAAAATACAATTTAAATAATAAACTACTATACTGCAAATAAAAGCTGAGTATTCCGATTATTTTAAAATAGTAGTTACTTGATTATAATTTTATATAGTATTATTGAAACTATTTATTTCTATTATATACTAACAAAAAATAAGCAATGAATATTGTACAGACAATTTAAATTAAACTAGATCGTATTGTCTATATATATTATATTATACTATTACAGTAGGTAATACAAGTAATACACTATTATTATAATGTATAGTTATATTATTTTAGTTACATTAAAATAAATAGTAAATCGATACAATCATAAAATAAACAGTTTAAGTGCAATTATCGAAAATATTTAACGACGACATTCTAATCACGATATCCTTAGACATATTTTTTTTTTATCAAATTGATCTTGTTTTGAACATGATCATGATACCTAATAACATGACTCGGTTCTCTCGAGCCCTAGTCGTCATAAAGGATATCCTTCAAACATATTACATGTATAATGTGGTAATATTGCGCGAATTAGGCTCAGCATTAAAAATATAATATTCATTAATAACAATAATTACGTATAAACATTAAGTAGGTGTAGACACAAAATACCCGTTGTACAATCGTATCGTAATCGTATATTATGGTGCATAGTCGCTCAGGGTATATTTTTCTATGTATGGTAAATTGGTAAATCATTATTATTTTATTATTTGTAAATATATTACACCATCGTTATTTTTGTTTGCGCAGATCCTTGTCCAGGAAATTTCACGCGTATCGCACACGCCTGTTATCACTTTAGCGAGAGACAGTATAACTGGAAGTCGGCCATGTCGATGTGCAAGAGTTTGGGCGGAAATTTGTTAGAGTTCGACAATAAAGACGAACAGATTGACGTGCTGACGTACCTTATCGGCGACAAGTACCTAAGAGGTGAGTGATCCATAGTGTTAATGAAGCGTTGTTACTATTACTGCGTTTATATTATATTGAAAGTGAATTTTTTCGGCTAGTGATTATTTTGATCTAAGTATGAAGGTTACAGGGTGTTTTTAATTTTTAAAGAAAGAATTAGTTTAAAAAACATTTTAAGTGGTGATATTTTTGGGAGTTTTAATATTTTCAAGACGACCTAAATTTTTAATTTCATAATCTGAAGGAGAATACTTTCCTAAACATTATGAATTAATAATTATGATTTATCTATATAATTGATACCAAATCAAATATTGAATAATATTAGTTTTTTTTTTTATCAATAAACGCATTGAAAATGAAAAGTGGATATAAAATAAATTGTGGGATAAAAGCAGATTATGAAATGAAAATTATATTATATAGTATTATTATATAGTTGTCATTTGAAAAATAACGATATGAGAAAAACTGATAATTTTACAAAAATTACGTTTTATAAATAAGGCAAAAATAACGAATGCTGCAGGTTCACGTTAGAAAAATCACTCTGTATACGTACACTGCACAGTAGTATTATAATACCTATGTATGGAAAACCTGACAAATTTTTGGAAATTGTACCCGCATGCGAACACGTAACTCCGGGTGTCAAAATTGTTTTTTTTTAAATTCTATTATCGCACGTCGGAATCCCTGCAGGTTACGACTATTGGACGGGTGGCCTAAACCCGGGACTGCTGTGGATATGGGCCAACAGCGCCCGGCCCGTGGTGCCCAAGGACTCGACGAGGCCCGAGGACCAGATCACCGGTTCGGGCCGGTGTCTGCGCCTCACCCCGAACGCCGCTACCAAGGTATACTCTTACTCGGGCGCCGAGTGCAGTAACCGGCACAGGTACGTGTGCAAGCACGAGGACAACGCCACTGAAAAGGCGCTGACCAGGATACACAAGGCGCTTAAGGACGGAGGCCAGCAGCAGAAGCCGACGACGACGGTCTTCGGGTCATCGCCACTGATCGCGGCGGCCACCTTATAACCGTATTATTATACACTACTATACCTATACAGTAATCTATTGTACATTTTATGTGATAAGTATGGGTAATCCGAGCAAAACTACCTATAAATTATAATACGTAAATAAATAATAATGAATATTTTGAATTCGCCGAGTCCTACGAAAATATTCAAACCCGCGCGAAACTCGCGAACGGCTACGAAACTTAATATAGTATAAAAGGCGAGATTAATATATTATTATGTCATAGGTATTGTAAGTATTTTTTTTTTTTATTTATAAATATTATAAATTAATAATTATTGTTGTACCGCTACTCGACGTACGTACTCCTTTTATTTTACGCATCATGTCATATTTATTTTTATTACACGTTCCACGGAATTATATTATAATAAAATATCTGCAGTTTTTTTTTTTACGTTTGTTTCGCACCCAAGCTTATTATGTCATTGGTGAAATGGCGACTATCGGCGTCATCGCAATACACACTCATTTTTCGTAAAACGCGTTTTGCTAATCGACATTAAAATAATAGTAATACAAATAATAATAATAATATAATATAATAATACGAAGTTAGCGGGGGATTGGCGTCTGAAACTCTAAACAGTCAACAGGTGGACTGTGGCAATGGCGACGAGTAGCGCAGCGGTGACCAAGGTGCAGACCTCAGTCCGACGACCGTCTGAGAACAACGGCATCGTTCGGTCCATCATCCATTCGTAGCCCAGTTGACTGTTGTTGTTCTTTTGGAGCTCGGTGCTCACCATCTTCCGGATCTTTTCGTTGTACGCGTTTAGCCAGCGCACCTGATGAGAGAATAAAAACCACATTGATCATAGGCGCTAATAGAGTTTGGGATTTTTTTTTTTTTTTTTGGGGGGGGGGGTCAAAGCCTTACTTTGATAATATTGAATAAGCTTAAAACAAGATGTGGGAAATGTTTTTTGGGGGGGGGGGGCTTAGCCACTAAAGCTCCCTCCAAAAAAACGCAAAACAATCTCGTAGCATAAGCGCATAATCGTCGAGACGTTTGAAAGATTTGTGCGACATTTTTTGGTACCTACTATTTAAATGTACTTTACAAGTATGTAAAGGTACGTACTTGTTTTGGGCTGAGCATGTAGTAATCGATGAGCTTTGGTTCGAACGGCACTAGAGTGATCGGCTCGAACGTCAAATATTTACCCATTGTTTCGTTCTATACAAATCATAAAAAATTATAATTATACATTTTGACAATATTGTTTTTTTCTTATTCGACGAAACCCCATGCTAATAATATAATATTAATCTCTAGATAATATTTGTAAATAATTACCTTTGTTATCACTTCTAATATAGTTTCTAGACGTACGCCAAAATGATTTTCTTTATAATAACCGGGCTCTGTGTTTAAAAAAAAAAAACATTTACTATTATTGACTAATAAAAGAAAATCAATATGTAATAAATATTTAATATAATATACTCTTCTGTCATGCACCATAGTATAAAATGAACGAACAAACGATCGGATGTTATCGACTATCGTACAATTATTATTAATAATATTAGCTATATTATAATTTATGAATTCTACCTACTTACCGTCAGATATGAAATATCCTTCCTTGAGAACTACGTCACTTGCTTTTTGCCCGTAATACATATTAACAGGCGCTTTAATGTGTAAACAAAAATAACATTGATGTTATTAGTTATGTTTATTATCTTAAAAATATATCAAATTAATAGTTGTACAATATATGTTTTTAATAAATTATTGTATCGGCAGTTATATTTTTTAGACCCAAATTTTGACAATCTGTTGAGAGTGTCAGTTTTACGTTTCTGTTTGGTTATTACTTATTACTAATCTACAGTACGACAGACTACAGTACCTACATAATTACTACTATGGTCTTATTTAAATTTACTATAAATAATACACACAATTGCTATATTGTATATATTATATTAGTACCTATTGTTAATTTAAATAAAGTTAGAAACATTGTTCTAGAAAGCCAAATTATTGGATGATGTATATATAGGTATAACTGTTAGCGACTGAAAATTTAAAAGTATCGATAGTGTCAGCGGCGTGTTTACCGCCGAGGATAGTAAGTTAATCCCCTTTGTGTTTTTTTTTTGTTTTATTAAAAGCATTTAAGAATATTACCTATACACTAAATTGTGCTTAATATGACGTATTTTATAGTATTTTTTTGTCAGTATTTTTTTGGTTTTTGTAAATGCAACATACCTAATTGATTGATGTTAGATGTTCTAATTAAGTATTAAATGTAGATATATGTAGTAATATGTAGCAAAACACAATATTGATGATAGGTATTATTATTCATTTTTTAATTTAAGATTTATTTATTAGTAGTTATTGGTGTAGTTAGTAGAGTGGGTAATTATGGAGTTTATCTCCAGAAATAAAGTGTAAATTAAAAATGATCATGATGTTAGTGTGATGTACTAAAATTAATGACTAATTGTGTTAGATAGTTAGTATTCCATATAGATGTCGAGTACACTGTTCTGCATATACGACTATACGACTGAGTAGACTGTATATGTACTATAGTATAGTATAGTCAAATATTGCCAGTATTGGGAATTCCAAAGGGTATGTGCCATGTGGGGGGTGAAGGCCCCTTCTTTTACGAATAAGCTTCAGTTCTTCGTCCCCTCTCTATTAAACAATTCCTAAATATTATGCTGTCGTGTTGTGTGTAACGTATTTATATTTTATATTCAATACATATTACATATTATAACACATCTATAATGCGAAATACCTAGTACGCGACCGTCGAAAATACAAACTTTCTACAATCGTAATGGCGTTATATTATATATTTATATAATTGTGCAACATTCAACAACCGCAGAACGAGAGTTGGCTCAACTCCAAACGTGGAAAATATCCCTTTGATCTTTAATTATTCTAAACAAAACAATCTGTCAAATGTACCTACTTACATTAGATATACAGTTGTTTATGTTTTTTGTCTCTATAATGCTCATACCGATTATATTATAATATATATAATTTACAGTCCATCTATAATATACACTACTGGAGGAAATTAAAACCAATTGAACTATAATAGTGTTTAGACATAACTATAGAGTATATAGACTTTACATAAGAATAGTATACATTGTAACATAGTTGATATAACTAGGTATTAGAAATAGTGGAATAAATAGTTTTTTTTTGCTCACACCTGCTGTTGCAGTCTATGGGTGTATATAATGGGGGCGGTAAACCTGTGGCATACCTTGGCCCTTACAAAAAAAAAAAAAATATAATATAATAATCACTTACGCTCGTGGACTTTGAGAAACACTCCGATCCCGTGACTGGTACCGTGTTTATAGTCGTAACCGAAATCCCAGAGCGGCGCCCTGGCGATTACGTCAATCTGATTGAGTTTCAAATTGTACGGAAATGTGAACGACGCCAGATCGATGGACGCCATCAACACCCTCGTATACGCTTCGATTTGTTCGGCCGACGGCTGTCCGAAATGCACCGTTCTGGTCACGTCCGTAGTTCCGTCTGCAGCAGATAAGGTCATGTGTTAAATTTGAATATTTTTTTTCCCCGTAGTCCTTACTTATGTAGTTATGTTTCATACTATATATATTAGGTAATACATTAATTTTAATACGATAACTATATGCACGACCAACACGTGGTGTTTTATATGATTATTATTAGATATTTGTTTAAAATATTTTCGTTGCTTTTTCGGACGGTATTTTATAACAGTTAATGTACAAGTAGCAGCTATAAATTTAATATTGAGGTATTTGATAACCATATCCTGCACATTCGGAAATAATTTAGAAAATACATTCAATTTTAAAAAGTGGAATTGCAGAGGCAATTAGTTAATGATTTGATATCATATTTTGATAGCTTTGTCAGGATGATTATCTACATTTATTTTCTATATTTCAAAAATATCTATGACTATAATCTGAACCGATTATATAGGACATCTGGACATCGTGGTAACCGATATTTCCGATTTGGGCGGGTCTTAAACGTCTTATATTTGTAGACGTTCCGGTAAAGTGTGTGTGCCGTATCAAAATTCAAAACCATCGTCAATTATAATTGTCGGTGCCCTTTACTATACGAGATGCGGTGACGCCAACAATATAAAAATCGTTTTACTACCAACATGACATTTAGAATGTTTAGTTGACCTACATTTTTTTATAAAATAAATTATGATAAATTTACCCTATAAAACGATTTTTATTCTCGTTAAAAAAACTCTAAAACTTTATTCTTTACTCGACATATTATAATAATATATACTAGGTTGCAGTGTGGTATAAAATGTATTTCTAACATTAACAATAAGAAAAATAATACAAACGTAAGTCTCTCATAATGTTGTTCATAGAAAACAAATATCGCAAATACGAGACTATTCGTGACATACGTTTGTAATAATGAAACACCACTTTCGATTATATTATACTATTTATACTTATATGCAATCTGCAGTCAGCAGATGACGTCAATTTAAATACATATTATATAGACGATGTACCATTTTGTATATAGTTGTTCGTAGAACTCGCGCCTCGAGTACAAATAAATATATATGAGTTGAGTCCGTATTATGTATTAATATGAGAGTATGAGACACTTAATTTTTCACTTTCTATATTAGGACCTGTGTACAGCAAGTAATAAAGTACCTAACTCTCAATTTGCATCGTTCTAATTGTGCTGTGTACATTATACTCAAATGTATTATACATAGTCGATTGCCCTATATTTATAGAGTCAATAGGTCGATAATATATAAAGTGGTGTATATAGGTACCTATAATAGTTTTATCACATTTTAAATCGGCGACTAGTATTTAACACAAGTATAATGTCGGACTTACCCCAGTAATGTGCACCGCTGTCAATTACCAATGTGCTGAGATGATCAAGTTTCAAGCTGCTCGATATCGAAGGCGTGTAATGAGGTATAGCCCCGTTGGGC